ACACGAAAGAGATGATGGATGAAAAAGATCCTAGAAGATTGGGCAAGAAAATAGTACGCGATGCAGCAATAATCAGGGAAAGGAGATGGGTGCAGAATAGGGTTTCCGGTATTCTTTGTGGTTCTGGATAAGCAATGACGCATGCGAGAGGAAGCATTACAATTGCCGGACACGGAGGCCCTGAAGAAGTTGGGAATCGTTGAAATCTGCAATGATGTGAAACGGATATGACTACAGCGCCTGCGAAAGTGTAGAGTCGCAAGAGCGCCAAGAGGCTGGTAGGTTGGAGTTAAGCGCAGGTGGAAAAAGGGACTTGTGCACAGAATGGCTAAAGTACTCGTTCGCACAAGAACTGTAGCAGTGATGATAACTTTGAAGATGACCTTGGTAATGACAGAGTCGCAAAACTGACTGTGATAATGACGATGTCAATAATGCTTATTTTGACAGTGACAATGACAGTGGCGATGACAGTGACAATAGATGACAGGTATTTTAAGGGAAACAATGGCACTCAAGTTTACACATTTGTTGGTCGTAGCTAACAATCAATTCGTGATAGAAACGTGTGACGCTCGTGATAAAAACTGTGGTGTCGACTGTGAATGCTAGAGGCTAGGCAATGCAAGCTAATGACAGGCGTGTGTGAACGTGAAGTATCTTGTTATTCAAGGAGGAGGAAAATTGGCATTCTTAATTAAATATCGTATTCAAATAACCTGATATAATCAACAATGAAAATTAATAAAGTACATTATACTAATTTAATATCGCAACTCCCTCGTATAATTGAGAAACCAACTCAAACACTATTTCCACATCTTCGCCGTCGTAATAAGCTCCTCTTTAGAGCTTAGTTTGTTTTAAATATCCGCATTTTTGAACACCGCAATATTGCTAATAAAATCAGACGATGCAGCAGCATTTTCACGTTTTCGTCGCTCCGGAAGCTACTGTAACATTCGAGACAATCTGGATAGCTTTTGTGTGTGTATGTGTGTGTGCGTGTGCATGCGCGCGTTCACGACAGCAGTCTGAGAAGTTGATGCCGCCTACAAAAGGACATTTACGTCTGGGAAATTCTAAATTAAATGAAACTTGACGTGAAGTAAATCATTCATACCGAGTTCATGTTTACTTATCTCCTACTTAAAAACAAAGAATAAAATAAGAAAAAATATCAGTAATGTGAAAAAAATATCTGCTTTTCAGAATATTTCAATTAATAGCAGGACGAAATCTGCAGAAAAAGACTGTCGCGGCGTGCCGTCTGCGACACACTCAGCGCCCGAGTCGCGCGCTCAGCTACCACCTGAGCCACCAAGACGGACACGTGACAGGATCCTGAGCGGCCGGTCGTTCACGCGAGATTCTATTTCGACGCATTCTTTTTTTTTTCTTCGAAACGCGTGCCCATTGTGCCCAACAAACACGCATGCCTAAATCTGCAGAAAGAGGCCGCCTACGCACCGAACGTCATTAAATTCCACGATTCCAAATCCTGAAGCCTTTCTTGTCAGTCCGCACTCCCAGTTTCCCATTGACCGATGCTGACCACGCGACTGACGCACTGGCCATGCGTTGGCGCGATGGCGCCGACGGCGGCGGCGGCAGTGGAAATGGCGTACGTGCCATGCCTGCCAGGCGCTGGGTGCGTCGGCGGCGCCGCCGCCGTCGCCAGCATCTGCGCCGACCTGCCCCAAGGCGTCCCCGCCGCCAGCGGCTGCTCTCGCCGTAATTTCGGAGGAATTCGGATGGCGACCACGTGGGCCCGCCTCACACCCGCTGGCTCGGCGCCGCTGCGTAAAGTCCTCGTTAGTTACGTAATGGAAGCCACGTCGAGATCGCTAGTGAAGCAAATCAATTAGTATCTTGCATTATATTTTATGTAACAATGCATGGCCTCTGCTTGATGCTTTTAACGAATTTATGTTTTAAGCTTTTATATTTGTATATTCAAGTATGGCCGTTAAAAGCTCTCTTCTATTTTATTCTGCATTTTTTATAAATTCAATCATGACTGATAACAAGTGTGATCAAATTGTAAATCTTTATAATTTCTTTTCTTTTAATTGTGACGGTGACGCGCCTCTGGTATGGACGTTTGTAGCTCTATAAGAATTAATAGGTTCTTGACATTTAAAACAATTTGAAGCTAACAAACTATTGTCGACATCAGACAATGACATTCTCAGCAAATCCAGAAGCAATTAGGGCACGCAGCTCATTTAATAAACAGTGGGAGCTGTAGGAATGGAAGTACTTCCAATTTTAATGTTAATTTTCTAAGTTGCACTTATTTCGAAATCAGGTTGTGTGTTCACTCTTTTCTCTAACTTAACCATAAATAGCAAACTTTTGGAAACGGTGCCTCGAAAGACTCTGCAAATTGTAAGACGGTACTTCTTCAAAGTGTGTTCTTTTTTACAATTGCAAATACTTCAGTGCGGAAATTTATAGTTAGTGTTTATTACATTTCCTTTAAATCTATTCATTTTACGCCAACGCTTTAAAGCCACGAGAAAAGAAAAAAGAAAACAATATGTCCTGTCAGCTGCACAAGAATTTATTTCATCAAACAAAATTCCTTTAAGACATTTTGATATTGTACATTCCACGTTATTGAGCATATTATATTTATGTGCAAATGTTCCCTTTGAGGCACCGGAAGGAATTTGTTCATTCGTTTATCGGTGCCTGACCATACAGAAGCGACATTAACCGGCGAGTTGGTCACCGACTAGCGATAACCTGCTTTCTAGTTAATTAACCCTGGCATTAGTCAGCCAACCAGTGTTGTTGCAAATGATGCGGAAACTTTATGGAAATAAATAACACAGTGGCCAGAGTTCGTAAAATTTCGAAATAATTATAAAAGAAGCTTTTGCCTATCAAATAACATCTGGGCGATTTTGGGGCTTATGTGAATTTCTGGTACTCTTATCTTTATCTAACCCTTATCTTTAAACAATTGTCCACACTGCACATGCAATATTGGTTAGAAATTCCAGAGATAACATGTAAATATACATTGGCAAATAAAATTAATTGCAATACTCTGTACTTCAATAATAAATAATCAGAGATTCTAAAAACGTATGCTCAAGTTAGTTAATTAAGAATGATATTACACTTTAATCAAACCTAGGCACATAATTCCAAGAGTCTCGCACTGTACAGTAAGCACACGGACATTATTTAGAAATTATTTTTCTTTGCTTATTTGCAGTGAATGTAGTAATAGGTTCCAAGTAATTGCATGATTTTGAAAGATAATAAATGCTAGTCAATTCGAATGATGTTTGTAACAGTTTCACCATCAAGACATATTCCGAAGTAATTGTGCATTAATAATTTAAACATACCACTTATGTTTCTATGTACCTGACTCAAATAGTTCACTAAAGTCTTTTAGTCGTACACCCACACAACAACGTAAAAAACAAGCGCCTCAGAACATGTGCACTAGTACGCGAAGACGCCATTGATAAAACTCCAGGCAAAATAAAGTCAACGACTACGCGCGTTCTAAAATTGGACCGCACAAGGCCAGCCGCCAACTGCCGGCCGCGTGGTCACTGGCGAGCTGTAGTGCGGGGAACGAAGCTTACAGCGCCTGCAGGTGCTCGTATCAGTGACTCACGACTGACACACTTGTTTCGGCGCCAGGCGCGACACTGTGTCACGGCGGAGAGCACGAGTTTGCAAATATTAGTGCAGAGGAATTTGGAGAGAGTTGTTTACTCTGTGAGGCTTCATCGTAAACGGAGATGCCATTTCGATTTCGTAAGCGTGAACATAATCGTGAATTCACGACGCAAATCGTCCCGTTCGCACACATAGATTTAATCAAAGAATTTGGTGTGTTTACATCACACGTTGCCGATCGTATTTACACTGATCTCCTTATCTTCCCTCTCTCGCCCTCTCCCCCATTGCCCCCTCTCGCGCAAACGCAATCACACATGCTCTCTCGATCTCTCTCTCTCTCTCTCTCTCTCTCTCTCTCTCATGCTCTATAAATCTCCTTCTCTCTCTTCTTTTCTGCCTCTCATCTCTATCGCACCAACGTCGTACCCTTCGAATATGCACTCCTTCTCGAAACACGCTGCATCTCGGGACAACATGTTATTCCGACAAGTGCCGAGCAAAGTGGCCACCACATCGCCGAAGGTAACATGTTTCAAGCGTTCTTGCCAATGTACTGAACTTCATCCTTGAGCCGCCAGACGGCGGCAATCTGGAGCACGGCGTTGCCTTGGGCTGGCGCGCCAAATAAACATGCGAAGCGAGACGCACTGATCGCCACCCGCAGCCCCCTGCCTCCGCCCGCGCCTTGCGAACCAGAGACACGCCGGTGGCAGCTCAAGGCGATGGTTTGTCACTCGGAACGATTCCTTAGCGGCCTTGAAGCTAGGAAGGGGGGGGTGCATTTTTTGTTTTCGGTGTTGAAATGGGAGTTTTCGAGAGCCGAAATCTTGTTGACGGCCAATTTTTTATGTTAGCATTATAATTATTGTAAAATAATTATTAGCACTCTTTTTTATATTAATAGAGATTTTGTTTAGGGAAAAATGATGGCTAAATTATTATTCACCATCGTTCATGAGAGTCGTGTCCATCTTTTTGTTTCCGAGAGTTGTAATCCAATCCATGAGAAACCTCACCACGTCGTCAGTTACACACAGTCACTCACACGGTATATTCACTATTTTATCACTCTGGAACGATGGAACAGTAGGTTCCTGACATTTCGTATTGCCCGGTTAAGTGGACAAACAATATTACCACTGATACTAAGATTCATCGCACAACGTCCCACAAGGTCGCAAATCACTACACCATTACACCAAGGTTGTACAGGCGTCCTACAAGAAGTCGGGAAGGCCGAGAGCGGCTGAGAACAGCAACCTCGAGATTACGCTCCGTACACTCGAGATTACCGTTTCCCCTCTTTTGACACACTTGCCTCGCCCTGCGGCGCGAGGCGTGGTACTTACGGCGGCATGAGGGCGACGGCGTGTCTGCGGCGGCGGCGGCGGTGTCGTCTCGGGGGGTGGCGGCGGTGGTGCACCGCGGCGCGGTGGCGGCGTCGGCGTCGGCGGCGGGGAGGCGTGGCAGGCGGCGCGAGAGCCGAGCGCGAACTGGCGAGACACGGAGGCCGCCCGCACCTTTCAAGCGCGCCGCGCGGCTGGCCTCCGCCGCCGCCACCGCCGCCGCCGCCCAGCGAGCGCTCGCGCGCGCGCGTCACGAGGCTGCTTGCTGCCTTGCTCCTTGCACGGCCCCCATGCTCTTGACTGACGCCGCCGCCGCCGCCTTAGCCATCGACACGGCTGCCGGGGCCGTCACCTCTGCCCTTGCGCAAGTTTCTATCACAACCGGCGTCGCCTCCACAGGCTCTAACGCCTACCGTAGCCCACATCGCTTGCTCCATCTCCCCTTGGCTAGCTACTACATCTCCCAGTTCGAAACGGCCTCCAGGTGCACCTCACCCCTTACCATTAACATTACCATGTCCTTCGCCACTTCTGTCTCTTCATTTGCCTCCACCTGTTCCGTTAGGTTCACATTTCCCTTATCCCTCTACTGCCCCACAGTCGCCACTTCCTCCATTTCCAACATTACCATAACCGCCTTCACCGTCTCTATTGCCTTCTTTGCCTCTACTATAAACCCACTTCCTGTATCACTTTTTTTCTATTTTCCTCCCTACCACCGAATCTATCCCGTGTAAGTCCTGCAAAATCGCCATCACCACCAACTTCCAAGCTCATCAATCCCATTCCAATCATTACTGCCTTGAACACATCAGTTTCTTCCACCACTGCCCGCCGCCAACAGCCGGGCGAAGCGGGACGGGACGGGACGCGCCGGGGCGGGGCAGTTATCTCACGAGTCGCGACCGATAGTGTGCGCCTGGCGGGCGGAGCCAACGGGCATTTCGCGGGCGGAGGCGGCGGCGCTTCGCGGTCGCACGTAGTCGTCGCCGCCTGCTCTGCGCCCGCGCTGCAGCGGCCTTCGCCGGCGAACGCGCGCAGCAGCAGTGGTGGAGGCGGCGGAGGCGGCGGTTGCAGCGCGCAGAGCGAGCGCGGGAAGCAGGCGCGCAGAAACTTCCGCCAGATGCGGCGCTCCGAGCGGAAGATGGAGCGCTGACGCCGCGTCGGCTCAGGAGGCGCGGCCGGAAGGGCGCGGGAGGAGGGAATGAAGGACAAGGACGCGCGCGAGGGCATGCGCGGGGCGGGGGAAGGGGGGGGGGAAGTAACAAAAAAAAGCTGCGGAAAACTTGTAAATAAACTTCGTCCCTGGTGTTGTTGTTGTTGTTGTTGTGGTGGTGGTGGTGGTGGTGGTGGTGGTGGTTGTTGGCCCACTCGCAACACAAGTAATGTTGATAAGTCAATGATAAGTGTTGTTGGGCACTTCATGGGCGACCAACTACTCCGAATATTTGTTTGACTAGCATATGCGTCGCTGGTTGTAAACAGTCAAACCGGAAAAGCTGTCATGAGAGTCATTATTTTATGGCATGTATGTTGTCGGTTAGTTTGGAAGATAAGTTCAAAAGTCACTAACTTATCTTCAAAACAATATTTTCTGCCACAACACTTTTCATCTACCGCATACTCCAATAATGGCTTACCGATTATGTTTTGGTTTTAATAACCGAAGGAATGTTAACATCAGAGAATTTGGATATCGCTATTAACCAAATTCCTTTCTTGATGCTGGAAATGAGAGATTCGGCTAGTGAACGAAGAGATTTTTTTGGTTGCTGTATTGCCAGTGCCCAATGGGGTGTACTCGCGGTAGTATGAGACAAGGGATATTTACTTCCTTTTCCTGAATAAATTCTGCAATTTGTGTTCTGTGTAAAATAAGTTGTGTTGTTTTGTAAAGATCAGATGAGAGTAGGGAGATTTTTTCCTCCATTCCTTGAATTTGAATATGAAGGTACAGAATTGAATTAATCTTCCTACTTCCAATTTTTTTACGTAACTAACACATTTCCGTGTACTACATTATGGAAAAGGTAAGGAAATGGCAAGGAGTTTCGACTTTCCTTGAGTCTTCCGTCCACACGATAATCTCAAAACGAACTGTGTAACGGTGCAAATAATAACATTTGTGAACAACTCAACATACACCATTAATATTTATTGAACAATAATTGTATAATTCGAGCTCAAACTTTCATTGTTAAGTCTCTCAGTTCACTCGGTCATAAAGAATGCTTGCGGCTGTTTGTCTCAAGATTGTTGAGGTTCGCTTGTAATGTTCTACAACACTCTTCACACTTCTGTGGGTTATTTATACCTGCAATAAGAGTGGCGTCATCTGCCTCACATTATCCTTCTCATTGTCCATTCATTGTTAGTAAGTCAGTCAAATAACGTTCCTGGTAAAAGTGAAATCCTTTTGCATTTGTAAGAGAAGGACACTAATTTACAACAACAAAAATAACAGCAACAACAGACGTAACATTGTTACTGTCAATGAGCAATGCATTCCTTTGAAGCTTTACATCGAAATATTTGGTGATAATTGAATTTCGTTCTATTATAACGAAATTAATAACCATTAATACCGACTTCGTCCGTGCTCAATGATAAGTAAATATTGATGTTTGGAATACGTGATTAATAAACATTTTCTTAACTTCACCTTGTTATTAAATTGTTTTTTTTCTAGTGTAGGAAAAACGTGTTTAGAAATACAATGATAAAGTGATTACTTTTAACAACATGCTATTGTCTATTTATACATTCGATACGAAGAACAACTGACAACCACGACATTAGGGAAGTGCGTTATCAAAAAACATGTGATCGCACTACCATTGAAATAATGGATGTTTGGGATTTCATTGAAGCGATAATAAATTGATAGCGTATTTGTTAGAATCCAGTAACTGTTATTCGAGAATAATTAGTTTTTAATGACCAGAGACAAATATGCGACAGCTATGCGACAAACAGCTGTTAGGTCAATGACCTGAGCTGTTTCCCTCATAACTACGTTCATTCAAATCTACAATCCGTAAATAGAAATCGAATCGAGAAAATGTATTTCTTCTTCTTCTCTCTCTCCCTCTCCCCTCTCTCTCAGTGCCATGCTTGGTTTGCTACCAACCACAACACTGATGGACGCATGTTACATCTCGCGTTGTGCAGTGTGTTGCGACTAGTGTGGCAGAATGCCATAAAATGCGGACCCCAAATAGATTGCAGTTGAGTCGGTGGAGTTCGATGGTGACGAAATTGAACAGATCTCATTGGTAACGGAGAGAAAACAATGGACAAAGAACATTACAAAAGCCTTGCCACTTGAGGATGCAGTTCTCGGCCTTCACAATGCTTCTCAATTCACTGTTCCTCGTACTTTATGCTGATGACCTCAGGCTAGAGGTAATGATAGCAACATTGTTTCAAGATAAAAACCGAGAAGCTACTGACTTATTTTGAGTGTTCCAAAGTGTGTGAACGTTTCGTAATATTTTTTTTATATATCAACGGAATATACCAGTAAAGTTTATATTATTAGTTTATACATTTATTATTACTGTTTGTATTCTTCATCTTTGCGATATTAAACCACTATTAATTTGGTATATGTTTCTTTGTCATACAACGAATAATATAGGATTTTCCGACAAATTGAAAGGTTTTGTATATTATATTTTCGATGAAAGTGACTGTAAATTATATCTACAATGAATTACTACAATAAAGCATTTAACAAACACAATAATTATATCGTTCATTTTTTATGAAAATAAGAATAGTGTAAAGTGATTATGTAGAAGATCGAGAATGCAATATTTTAGGAAATTACAGTATGTAGATTTGAGTGTAATTTTTCCTGCTCGCCACATCCCAACATCTCCAACAGTGAAGCAAGCTAAACTCGAGACGAGGCAGATGAAAGAGCCATCCGGCGTCTAACAGTATCTCTAAATAGACTGGAAAATAGTAAACTTTCCCCGCAGTGCATTTTCCTGGGCCTGCCGCTACTTTTCTGCCCGGATCTCTCCGAGCAACCTCTCCCACCGTTCGGTGCGCTCTCGTCTCGCTGCGAGGCCGCACATTGTCCTGCGAGGGGGTTTCGTCAGGGCGACCGAAAGGGAGTCCTCCCCTCCTCCCCTCCTCTCCCCTCGCCCTTCGGACTGCTACCTGGAAGGTTCCGTTGCGGCGAAAGGAGCAGCCGAGTGGGCGGGCGCATAGTCCGCTGAAAAATGCTAATTTCGCGAGCGAGCGAGGATTAGAGCGAGCGGCCTTTGCATTCCACGCGGTCGCTTCATAATGGACTGCGTTTCCCGCGCCAGCCCCCATCCCCCCCCTCCCGGCCCCTTCTGCCTCGAACGGCGCTTCTGCTTTGGTTGCTCAACCTTCGAAAAGCAAGCCGATAATGAGGCGGAGAATTGTAAATCTTTCCTTTAAATTAAACTTTCTCGTATGCTACCTAGTTTTAGAGAATATTGTGAAATTCTGCCAATGCATGATGTTCAGAATGTTATGCTTCACAGTTTTTTTTATTCCTTGCCGTTGTGGGTATCACTTATTCAGAAAAACAAATATTTTTGCTCAAAGAAGTCTAGATTGTTAGAAGATGATTGTGCACTGCCGCAATCATTGACTTACCAGTTCGGTGAGATATATGATTCTGATAAGAAAGGCTAGTGATTGCTGGGCAGAATCATGGGAAGAGGCAATGCTAAAACGATATATGCGCGTGTTAATAAATGTCGATATATTAAAATGTACAAAAATATCTGTCTTAAAATTTGAGAGGTAATGAATACGCAGCGAATGCGGAAGAGTTTAATTGATAGTGTTCCGCGTATTCTACAGAAAGGGTGAATTTTCTGCTTATTGCTTTTCATTGAAAGTTTATTAAAACCTCACATTTTGAAACACTTACGTATAAAGTAAACAACTATCTAATTTGTCTTCTCTTACTTCCTCAATAAAGACGTTTAGTAATGACAACAATCGCATCCATTTAATTTTATCAAGTCTTATTAATTTGTACCGTAGCATATTTGTAAATATTAGTTTATTAATATTTTTTCATAGAACAGAAAATTAATATAATTGTAAATGCATTGTAAATTAAATTATGTAAATTCATTTTACGTATCTTTATACGTAACGCAATTTAAATTTAACAAGATTTTGAAAGTAAACGTTAACAGTCAACATTACTATTACATCACAATTCCGATAATGTGATCCTGCCTTAGCAAGACATATTTTTGTTTTAATTTTGTATTAGAACGTTGACGTTCGCTGATAGTTCTCAATCTAGGTTAAAATGTCTGTTTGGGTCAACAAATATCTTAAGAGTAATGGTTTTCCAAGCAGCGTTTCCTGAGTTTAGGTCAAGGATAGATGTTTACAAATTGCTTTTGTAAACAATCAAAGTCCTACTTGTCCTTTGATACGGTTTCATCTAAAATTAATGAACTGATAAATGGGTCAATTTCACCACACAATACTCTCAATTGGCACAGTTATCAGGACCCATAAAATGGTCAAAGATCAATGGAGAATGAAGGATCCATAATAAATGCTATTCATCTTCAACAATTAGATATGTTTTGCCAGCCAGCAGTGCAAAATTTTAGTGCAAATGGGAAATTTCAAACATTTGAACTAAATTGCATTAATTTGCATTATTAGCATTAATTTGCAAGTATAAAATAGTATTGTCACTTAAATAAAACACGCCTCCTTTTTTACGAAAATATAATTATCTAAAAAAGTTAAAATATGAATATCATTATTGCTAATTCATTTTTAATTTTTTACATCTGTATGATCTCCCTTTCTTGGGCAGATAATTAAAGTTATTATTAGGAAACTAATGCTTTTAAACCAAAATGTCCACAAAAATGTACTACTTTACTTTATTTTTGAATCCCACTAGCTGGTTCCGTGTAACTAGGGGAGAACTGTGCGATTTTCTTAATATGAATGGAACTTTTTTGGTGATGGAAGATTGTTGTCGAATGTTACGATATGTAGAGAAAAGGAAATGCTGAACAATCATAGCTATTACTCACTTCCGTTGTCTCATTGGAAAACACGTGCGACCTAAATTAAACTAACAAGACTTTCTTTCCCACAGCACAATGTGTGAGATTTCAAATACTTGAGATGGTCCCGTCTTCATGAAGGGCAGCCATTGCGAATGAAGGTGGATTGAGAAAACATATATGGAGTTACGAACTTTTCAAGAAATTGAAATATCCTATCCTACATTACAGCTCTTCAACGTTTTGTTCCAGTACGTAGGTACTTTGAAAACATTGATTTATAAAGTGCGGAATGTTTGCACGGGTCCAACTAGTTACATTTACAACTGTACACATATTTTACTTTCTCGCACTTACTTCGTAAGAAGAGGCAGTATTGCAATCGTACCC